TTTACTGTCTCATCAGCATTGTATGTGGCACCAAATCATCTTCCCACAGCCTTTTTTATTCAGTTGTGTTTTTGATGAATAGTTGCAGCCATCCCTCAGAACTCAAGATAACAAAGTTATGGGGTTTATTAGGGAGTTTATCAGGCTACAATTTAGAGTCGAGTGTACAGGGGGCACACTTGTTCCAGTCAGTTGCAGATAAATGCCCATAGGACACACGACTCCAGCATAAGCCTCCCACTGAAGGCACTTGGCTCTAGCATTGTCAGCAAAACTATCTCCCCACTGAAGTGTCTGGAGGCACCCTACTCTACAAGCGAACTTACTGTTCTGAGTCACTCAGTTTGACTTGTTCTGTGGGCTGGGAAGTCCATGGCTCTGCCTCATTCTCCGATTCTTGATTGTGCTGCTTCTCCTCTGCTGTTTCTCTGGTGTCATCCCTGGGTCTAGTAGCCTCAATGTGCAGGGTTCTGGGGGTCCAAAAGACATGCTCCATTTCTTAGATTGCAGTGAGATTACACCCCACTTCCCCTACTGCTTCTGAGGTGCTCTGTAGAGATGTTTGTTGGGAGTTATAAACTATGGCTAGAAGAGCCATAGGTAAGTCACTACACCATAGGCCACCCCCTTGGTTGTTCTAACCATTGCCCCTTTCATACATGATGGGCTAACTGGATCCATTATTATTTAAACTGTAATTCACACATCCATGAAAGCTTATAAGCTGGCCACTTCATGCTTTTATTCCCCTTCCCATTTGAGATGGACAATTTCAAAATTACCTATCCCTATGAACCCAGTCCTCTGAGGAAACAAACATGTTCCTTTATGTAATCTTACGTTCTTATTGGAATTTTAGGCATCTGCAATGTCTAGTCCACACCAAGTCATTAGAATTGCAGCAGTTTATACATGCTTAAACATCTCTTTCTTCAGTTTGGTTTTGGTCATTTCAGCTCTAGCCATCCTCGCTATGTCAAATGGGTAGCAGCTGCTAGCTTGGGAGTCCATACACTCCCTCCCTGCATGCCAGACTAGCTGGTTCCCTCATTCGCTCTCTCAGCTCTAGCCCCTATGGGCAGGTTGGTGCCCATTTAAGCTCAGGAGTCAAATAACACCCGAAACTTCAGTCCAGCTAGCCCTTCCTCTTCTCTCAACTAATTTCTTCACTGCTGCATTCTCCCCCACTTCTGTTCACCAAGTGGACTCACCAGTAAGCATACCAGGCTATCTGCTTGCTAACTCTTTTAACGTTCAGTCTTAGACTTGGATTTTCTGTGATGGGCACAGACTTTTCCTACCTCATTGCACCCAACAACAAATTGCTTGCTTGAAATTCAAATTTCCATTTATTTTTCTCTTGGCAGGTCTTTCCTTTAAACATAAATCTCGTTTTCTTGAAGCAGTTCTTGGTGGGGCTCAGGTTTCCACCTAAGCCCTTTACTCTGTATACAGGTTACTGGTTTCAAATAAAGCCTGTTTCTTGCAGGCAATTCCTAATTCCCCTTTAGCATGTCTAATTAAGTATGGGCTAACGCCTGTTTACAAGCTCTCTGTAATCAAAATAACCATTATTAGTTCCCATCACACCAGATGGTCTGTTTTATAATACTGGGTAGGAGGAGTTGTGGTGTAGTGCTATAGGATAAGCACTCAACTATACAGGGTTGCTGTGAGTTGGAAACGACTCCCTAACACTTAACAGGTAGGAGAAGCAGTCAGTGTCCATAGTACAGTCATATGAACACAGAACCCGTATTACCGTAGGCCCCTATCAGCCATCTTGTTTATCTGGCTTTTTGCCCCAGGTGACGCCAAGTAGCAGATTTTCTCCACTCAGCTGCAGCATAACATCTTGCATTCCTTTTATCATTATAATTAATCACCAGAGCAACCATTTAAGAATCAAAAGCTTTATCTCCCAGGTTTTCTTTTTCTTACAAAACTCTTTCCTGAATCTGAAGCCATTGCAAGGAATCTGGCTTCTGACACTAACTCCACAATATTTGAGGCACCTACATTCCTTCCACAGCCTTCTCTATTCAGCTGTGTTTGATAATTCATTACAAGGGCCACACAGAACTTAGATAATGTACAGTTACGGGGTTTACTAGGGAGGTTAACAGGTTACAGTTTGGGATCAGAAATGCTCAGGGTACAGTCCAGTCAGCTGCTGATAACTGTCCACAGGACACAGCACTCCACCCTAAGCCTCAGCCTGAAGGCACTCTAGCTCCCCCACTTACGTGCCTGGAGGCACCCCACTCTACAAGCAAGCTTTCTGCCCCCAAAGTCACTCAGCTGTACTTGCACCGTGGGTTGGAAGTCCCAGTCGTTCTGTCTTGGGCTCTGGTTCTGCTGCTGCTCCTCTGCCCCTCCTCTGGGGTCACAGCTTTCTGTCCCTGGAGAGAGGAGGTTTAATGCACTGGGATCTTGAAGCTCAAAGAATGCTCTCCACGCTTCTCTTTTCTTGGATGGTAGCCAGATTCCCCATTTGCCCCGCCCTGCTGATGGTTCGTTTTTATACCAAAGCTAGAGTTTCAAGTTTTTACAATTACAATCAACTCTGTTAACCACCACACCTGCATCATTGTCCTATTAGTATCTTCTCCCACCTTCTCTTACGCAGACCCAGCAGGGAGTCACAGACTGTGTTGGGAGTCACAGACTATGGCTTGAAGAGTCATTAGATAATTCACTGCACCACACCTCCTTACTCTGATCAACATATTATCATTAAAATAAATAAGGAAATAGAGGAAGAATGAAAAAAAAAATGTAATAAAAAACCCTAAACATTACCTCTTTCACTTGAACAACAAAATATATATGCATACTTGGTATTGGTTAGTGTATTTTTGGTCTCTTGGTGTGGCACTGTACAATAAGCATTGGATTGCTGACTGCAAGGCTGGTTGTCAAATCCACTAGGTGCTCCTTGGAAACCCTATACAGGATCACTATGAATCTGAACTGAATTGATGGAACGTAACATACACAGGAGCTCTGGTGGTTACAAATCGGGCTGCGAACCGCAAAGTCAGCAGTTTGAAACTACCAGCTGTTCCGTGGGAGAAAGATGAGGCTTTCTGCTCCCGTAAAGATTTACAGCCTCAGAAACCCTGTACAGGGTCACTATGAGTTGGAACCGACTCCACGGCACATCACCACCACCACCACCATACACAGTGTATTTTAATTTTTTTTTTGTTTCCTTTTCAGTTTTACTGTACTGTTCATATTCCTGCCAATTTTTGTGTTCTTTTGATTTGTGAGCTGGTGTGGCAGTGTAGGATAAACACTGAACTGATAACTACAAGGTCGGTGGTTCAAACCCACCAGCTGCTCTTTGGAAACCTTATACAGGGTTGCTATGAATCAGAACTGACTTGATGGCACCACCATCACCAACTTTATATATTTAGAATTATTGGTTTTGTATTGCAAGGATGTTTTCATTTAAATATTTTTAGTAACATAGAATTTTTTGGTATCATACAGAGTTTATATTTTTATTTAGTCTTATCTCCCCCTTTTTATAGAGTCCCTGGGTGTGGTGTAAGTGGTTATCATATGCTGCTGTGAACAGAAAGGTTAGTGGCTTGAGTCTTAACCCTAACGTGAGGTGCCTCAGGAGAAAGAAAAATCGGCCCTTGAAAACCGTATGGAGTACACTTGTTCTTGGGCACATGTGGGTGCCATGATTTGAAACAGTTCATTGCTAACAGCTGTTTGTTAGGTTGGTTATGAGTGTCCTTTCTCTCCTAGCTGCCAGATAAAAATGGTTTTAGAATGCATCTTGGGCACCTAAAAAGGGTATTTTCAATTATGTGAAACATTCTACTATTCTTATTTCTGAAAATGGATGTTTTTAGTAAGCAAAACCAGGTTTTCGGAATTCCCGTTTTCTCGTTAAACGGCCAGTCTCTGAGAACACCAATCTGAAAGAGTTTGAGTCCTCTGAGTTGGTACCGACTGGATGGCACCTAACAACAGCAACAATGAGTGTCCTGAATCCACTGAGGTGGTGTGGGGATTACTAAACTGTTCTTTAAGTAGGTGGTTCTGTGTGAAATAAACAGTGAAGAGAGCGCTAGAAGAACTATCCTTAATATAAGCATGCAAACAAGATTTACAACAAATTTGCAAATCCAACTCTGTTAAACATAAAGATCCAGAATTTTAAATGCAACTTGTTAGATTTATTGATATTGAAAGACATGTGGGTAGTTAATAAAACATGTTACAAAATAGTATCCTGGCCTGATATCAGGTTTAGAGGAGAAAAGATACATGTGTGTATTTACCTATAAACGAAGGTCTATTGTAGAAAGTACACTGATTTATGTTGGGCATTTATATGTAATCTTTATTTTATATTTCAAAAATTTCTGGCTTTTCAGTAATGGGCATATTTATTTGTGTAATAAGTACAGAGATTCCTGAATCCTCCCTTTCTCTTCCCTAAGAAACTGCCTCAAATAAATGACTGTTTGGAATAATACCTGTGTTATTAACTAGAAGCTTGTTGTATGACAACATTTTTAGCTCATTAAGGTTGGGAAATGCTTCAGATTCTTAGTTGTTTATATTAAGTTTAAGGGAAAATGCTACGATTAAACTGAAGGCAATTAAAGTATAACACTTTATATACTAGCATTTCTTAATATATCTGCTGAAGTAAATGAGCTGTATATTGGTACTTTCATTTGCAAAAGCATGAATCCTGCTGAACAATGAAGACTCAAAGCACTGAACACTGTTATCTTTTGTATTGTAGCACAAAGTGTAATTTATAGTTAGTATCAATTAGAGATAATTTGTATTTACTTTAAAAAAATTCTGATAAATTCTTTGTTGCCTTTCAAAACAGTACATCAACTGTATGGTAAATTAGCAAGTTGTTTTTCTGCCTTCTGGTGTGAATTTCTTTATGCCCTCAGAATGCTGCCTTTTTTTATAGTACTTGAAACTTTTACTTTTTATTTGTTATTTCTCAGGTAAACGCAAAGCACTGAAGCTGAATTTTGCAAATCCACCTTTCAAATCTACAACAAGGTTTACTCTGAATCCCAACCCTACAGGAGTTCAGAACCCACACATGTGAGTATTCATGGGAATCAGATGGAAGGCTCGACTCCAGCACAGAATTTTAGTTATTATTTTTATGATTTTTTTTATAAACATGATTAGTTGGTTGTGTGCCTCCGAGTCGGTTCTAACTCATAGTGCCCTTGTATAGGGAGGGCTTCTGAGACTGTAAATCTTTATGGGAGCAGAAAGCCTCGTCTTTCTCCTGCTTTTTAAACATTGAGACTGGTATTTTCATTATGTTACAGACCATTTGAAATGGTACTATATGAGTTGAAGTAGAAAGCTGTATCTGATGTAAGAAAATAAAATTTGTGTTATTGACGTTTACTTGGAGAGAAGAAAGCTGAAGCTGTAGGTGTGTTTATATCAGAACTCCTTCCTCTTAAGTACTAAACGCTGAGAATATTGTTTATCCCTTTCTTACTGGATTTGGAAACCGTAACGGCCCTATGGACATCTGCACAAACCATCCCCATTTAGTTGAGGACAGAATGTTGTCGTTATTGTTATGTGCCATTGAGTTGGTTCCGACCTATAGTGACCTTGTATAGGGTTTCCAAGGAGCGACTGGTAAGCTTGAACTGCTGACCTTGCTGTTCAAACCGACTTTGCAGTCCAGCGCGTTAACCAGTGCCACACTGGGTCTACACAGGACACAGAATAGACTATTTTAAAATTGCCTGTAAGATTTCCCTGTCGTAGTTAATTGCCAATGAGTGATATATTTCTTCAGTGACTATTTTATATGAAAGAGTAGAAATATTACAGCATCTCACTAAAAATGTTATATAAAACATCTAATTAAAATACTATCTTAAAATGTTTACACAGAAACTTTTGATAGAATTAAACTATCCTGTTAGTAAACCCTTCTTTCCTTCTCCACAAAAGGATCCTGAACAGCAAGTGTGAAAGCTAGTGGTTTTACATTGATCTTTCTCTTCATAAAAATAATGTTCAACTAATCCTGGTATTGAGGACTATAAAGCAGGTGCAAAAAGGTAAAGAAAAATAGTAGAACACATGGTTTTATGATTTTTAGTAATTCCTCAAAAATTTTGTATTCAAGCCTTATTTGACTAAGCATATATTCTTTTAAAAGAGGCACATTTAATGCTACTTTTAATGTTTGATGTACATAGTATTTACAAATAGTTAACAGGGTATTTTGCTGTTATTTTTTAATTTATCGTTTAAAGATCAAGGATGTGTGTGTATACATATATACACCCATGGGCTTAGAAGGAAGGAAAGGTATTTTTAATGAACTCTGGAGTAACAGTGCACCTGACTTGGCGTGCTTTCTGTCAGTTTATAGCTGACTGGTGCTTGTGGTTAGATTTCTTGTCAGAGCTTAGCCTTGAGTCCCAGACGTTTCATTTTTCGCTGAAACATTAAGTGGGGGCCACAGTGAGGAAGTAAATTTAGCACTTCTTTGCGAGTCAGAGTGCCAGCAGCAGCCGGTCTAAATACCCTCCTTCCGCATTTCCCAGAGTTTCTGGTGAAAGTTATTACAAAACTCTTTCTAGGTTGAACATTGCTGTAGTTATTGTTAAGTGCTGGCGAGTCCGTTTCGACACATAATGCCCCTGTATAGGCCTCATCTTTCTCCATTGGAGTAGCTGATGGGCTTGAACCACCGACGTTGTTGTTTGCAGTCCAGTCTATTTATATTACCTTGATTGACTTCTGAACAAAGTAGTAGAATCAAAGAAATAAAAGATCCAATATTTGTAGCCATACTTACCAGTTTATTTTGTCCTTCGAAGCTCCTATGGACCAGTAGAATATCAACCTGACTTAACATTTATAATTGGAAAAATATTCATGCTTATACTCTCTTTCCTTTGGAATTTCTTTGTGTATGGAGAATTCGTGGATGGGTTTTTCTTTTTTTAAAAAAAGAAAAAAGTGTTAAATATCAAGAGTTTCAAAATGGATAAAAGATAATGGACTTTTTCATGAACTTTTTGAAACTCCCTCCCCAAATTTGAGTAAATTAGTTTTTCCCCATGTATACTTTAAACACTTGTTGTTGTTGCTAAGTGCCATTGAGTTGGGATCCGACTAATAGTGACCCTATACAGGGTTTCCAAGGAGCAGCTGGTGAGTTGGAATTGCCAGCCTTAACGGCCCAAACCGCCGTTGCAGTTTACCGCATTAACCTGCAGAGCCACAGTAATTCTCCAACCAGAAGTTTGTCGTCCTTTGGCTTGCCTCAGTAAGTAATACAGCTTGAGAGGACTTGGTAAAAGGCATTTTTAGCCTTGAATGGAGTCTTTAGCACTCTCTCAGTTCTGATATTTAAAAAATTTTAGATCCAGACTTTTTTCAAGTTTTATTTCTGACGTAGTATGTTGATCTGAAGCAGGAGCAGTCAGCTACTAGTGTGAATACTAGTGATAGACAGGATTGCGATGAACTGCAACGTTGGCGGTTCAGGCTCACCAGCCACTCCTTGGAAACCCTAATACAGGGTCTCTGTGGGTTAGAACTGACTCAATGGCACTTAACAACAAGAACAACTGGTTAAGACAGTGCATTTCTATGGCCTTCCCGTTCCATTCCATATGGTGCCCCTTTGTCCTCTTACTCTGGGCTGTGTGCCATCAGCTGTGAAAGTCTATTGCTGATTACTCTTCAGGAAATGGTGAGGTGCCCTGGAGTGGGTTCCTGCTCATGGTGATCCTGTATAGGTTCTGAGGCTGTAAATCTTTATGGGAACAGAAAGCCTCATCTTTCTCCCGAGGAGCAACTGGTAGTTTCAAACTGCTGACCTGTGGTGAGCAGCCCACTTTGTAACCCACTATGTTACCAGGGCTCCTTCTCTTCAGAATGAGGACTTTGCAATTAGAAAATGTGACTTTTTCCTCCTCTTGGGATTTCTTTCAGCTGATTTTTCTTTGCCTTTCAGTGATGACTATAAATATCAAAATTATTCATGAATTTAGGAAATAATATGAACAGGCAACTAATGAAGTTGTAACATGTCCCAGGAGGTAGTTTCAGATCCAGCTGACATTTATTTAATGTCTTCAGGATAATGATCCTCTGGAAGAATAATACAAAAAAAGGAAGACTATATATTCTTATTTTCTGAGAAACAGCAATTTAAATAAAACTCCAAGAGATTACAACTGACTCCAGTAATTGGCATGAAGTATCATAGACTGAATGTTACATGAGCGGCACCAGCAAGGGGAAGATCTCTTTGTATGAACTGTTTGGTGAAGGTTTCACAGAAGAACAAGATTTGAGTTAGAATTGGATAGACAGGTCAGGGAGATGAGGTGAAAAGCAGGACGAATGGCATCTGGTGAGTGTCAACACAAGCTAGGTTTTGAGGACCATGTATAGTTGTGCTTTAGAGCAGAAGTAATACTTACAGAATGCTTAGTTCTATCTCTCACTGGAAACCTTAGCATTTTTGTTTTTAATTTTTCATATTCTAAAATTAGAAGAGACTATCCCTAGGCATAGATCATTTTTTATGTACTTGGTAAGCTTGTGTAGTTTGACGATTCATTTCTATTTCTTGAGAAAATTTTTGCTGTTATTCTTTTGAGAGATTCCTTCATGGTTTGTTTCTTATTACTTTTTTAAATTCCCTGTTCCTGAAACTGTTTGCTTTGGACTTTGGATCTCCTAGATTTCCTTTTTTAGATGTTTCTTTCATATTTTTCATGTTTTTGCTCTCTATTCCTTTATTTTTCCAATTCTTACATTGTAGTAATGTATTTTTGTTCCTGAGAGTTGGTTGTGAGTACTGGTGTGTGGCTGTAGGAAGCACTGGGCTGCTGACTACAAGGTCAGTGGTTCAAACCCACTAGTCCCTGCTTGGGAACTCTATATAGGGTTTCTGTGAGTTGGAACCGACTCGATGGTACGTAACAACAATATTACTTTGGTAATTGATTTTTATTTCTAAGGGTTGATTATGGCTAAAAAATCTGTAACTTTGAAGTTCTTTTCTGCCCTCTGGACTGTTTTCAAATCTTTGACTTTTTCCTTCAGTTGTGTTGTTGTTCTTGTTTTGTTTTGTTTTTTCTTCCCTACATGTCTTCTGGTAGCTTAGTGGTTATGAATGGGGCTGCGAACCAGAAGGTCAGCAGTTCGAAACTACCAGCTGCTCCGCAGGAGAAAGATGAGAATTTCTGCTCCTGTAAAGATTTACAGCCTTGGAAACCCTGTACAGGGTCTTTATGAGTCGGAACCGACTTGATGGCACTTAACAATAACAACATATGTCCTATGCTTCTTGGCTGTTTATTGGTGGTTAATGATGAGAACATTGGAAGGCTGACTGGGAGTACTGTGTACATAGCATTGTATTATGTTGACTGGTGGGCTTTGCTTTTCTGTGAGTGACTAGAGAGCTTCCTCTTAGGCCAGAAATCTCCTAAATGCCAGAATGAGCAGGAACCACCCTAGGAGGCCTCCTGCTGTGACCCCAGCACTGTCAGAAATTCTGTGACCTTGAGTGTGCCACTTAACTCCCATTTCTGATTTGGTTTGGTTATCTGAAACTAGAGAGGGGTACATGAATCTCTGTGTACTTCTAAGTCAGATTTAACTGTTAACAATCTAGTCAATATTGTTTTATCTGTCTGCCTTCCGCCTTAGTCTCACTTGCCCTTAGTCTTAAACCCCAGACATATACTCTCTTTTACAAATATTTTAGTATGTAATTCTAAAAGATACAGACTCTTTAAAAAAAAAAACAAAACTTAAGCACAATGCCATTGATACATCTAGTAGAAAAAAATTTGATATCATTGTCGAAGCCAATTGCTCTCTCTTTTTAATTGTTTCAGTCAAGGTCATGCACTGTGTTGGCAGATATTTCTTTTCAATTTTTGAGCCTCTTCTCTTGGAGTTCAGCTGCTTTTCATTGTCTATACATTTTTGTATGATTTTAGGCATCTAGGAGTTTGGTTAACTCTCTTAGTTTCTTCACTGTTACAAATTTCCTTAAAAAAAAAAAGTCATTCTTTTCACAATTGTAATTC